CCTGCACTGGTGTGGGTTTACATGTACACTTCAGCACTGATGTGAAACAACATAACAATTTTTTTTTCATCAGGATAATATTTCTAAAACAGAAATAAGGCAAAAGTAAAAATAAAGTGCTATGCCTTTAGGGAACTTGAGAATGGCACAGGCAATCATGCTATCCTCCTTGAGTTCTTAGCTATGGTTTTCCTACTTTAAGCATACGGTTTTGTGGCACAGTGCAGTATCCTAACCAGTGCATGTACCAAGAGTAGACCTCCTTCTGGATATGACTGTCCTCGATGTCCCACCAGCCAAAAACAGACTGTCACCTGCTAAAGAAGAGGATTTCTTCTACACCCTTTGAAATTCCAACCTAACACCAGATTTCCCCTGCATTGGCACCACACTCTACCATACTCTACCACATCACATAACCATACATCTAATATGCCTTTGTTATTTGCACATGTTCAGTGACACAGCTAACATGCACATGGGCTTCTGTGGTCGTGTCATGTTAGATAGAGTAGGATTAAGTCTCCTCTGATACAGTGTGGGCTTCTGGAGCTTTCCCAGTAGGAGGGAACCAAGTGGCACACAGGATAGACCAGCACAGTGAGGGCTGTACTCTGGACTGTCCTGTGGGCAATTCTAGCCTACCACTCCAAAGGCAGACCTGATGACTTGGGATTGGATGAGGTGTACTATGAATGGAAACATCTAAAAATGTGGTACTTAGGCACTCATGGGCTGCATTTGTGATAACACATCTGCAGGTGCAGAGTTTGTCATGGATCTCTATAAAGAAACCCAAAAACTAAGCAGACAGGGTGAGGATCTGACTTTGGGAAGGGGGCAACCTTGACTCCTTTGCAGATCTAGGATGAGAGAGAGGGCTGCAGCACTGACAAGAGTCAGGAGTAGGAAGAGCCGGGCTTCAAAGGGTTTCTATTGGGGGAGGACAGGCAAGGATGTTCCAGCTCAATTCCCATCACAGATTCCCTGGTACAATTACCATTTCTAAATAATTAGCACTCTAAGCCTCGGAGGAACAGAGAAGGAAATAGTTGGGGATGAGCTTGTTTACTCCTCCAGCTCAAAAAATAGCATTGTGAGGACAATGTGTGGCCATGACGCATCTGTGGAGGAGGGAGGGTGCAGACCTTAAAGGACTATCTGATGCCATCCTGGCATCATCCTGTGTGGCCCTTCCTGCCATACAGATATTCAGGCCTGAGAACCCCCACCCCCTCATGGAGAAGTTCAGTGCCTTCCCCAGGCACCTGGCCACATCTAGAGAGGACATTTTTTTTGTTGTTGTTGTGGTTGTTTTATTTTTCTATTTACAATAGATCACACTTTAGGTTAAGTGTGAACATAGATGCGTATACCCATGTCTCAATTTATTAATTATACAGGTGGGGTTTTTATGATAAGCCTCTAGTAATTTAGAAAGAAGTTTGTGATTTGGTGTCAGTGTGTGGACTTAGGTTAAAATAATTTAAACTTGCTCACTTTTAGTTCTCTGGCTTTCCGATTGGGACTTTCTCATTGCCAGACTCAGTCTGTCTGCCCACTTAACAGCCCAGCCTAAAAACATCTGCAGGCAGGAGGTGGTGGCATAGGCCTTTAATCCCAGCACTCAGAAGGCAGAGGCAGGCAGATCTCTGTGAGTTTGAGACCAACTTGGTCTACAAGAGCTAGTTCCAGAACAAGCTCCAAAGCCACAGAGAAACCCTATTTTGACCCCCCCCCCCAAAAAAACTGCTGGATTTTGCCAACAACCTAGCACATGGCAATCAGTGACATCTAAGTCAGCTGTGCACAGGTTGGCCTCAGACCCTCAAAAGCCAGCTGGTTCCCCATGCAAGCAGACCCCACACAGGCAGCAGGCCATATACTCATATCCTGCTCTCCATTAGCATGGGCCATTATAGAATGTATGCCTGTCCTGTGTGTGGGCCTTTGGAACCAGTGGAAAGTACAAGAAATACATTTAAAAGTACCCCCAATTCCCACACAGAAGGGCTGACAACATCGTGGTTTTCCTTAAGTATTTTACCATAATTAACATGTTTTAAAACAAAACAACATCAGCTGTATATCCTCTCCGGGTAATTTACTATATATACATATATGTAATAATCTTAGCATACACCTTTTTAGCCTTTTAATATTTGTTGTGGCTCAAAGAAATATGTTTATGAAAATCAAACATCTGTTCCTTGAGATTGCTTTATGCTTAGAAAAATGTTCCTATAAGGTCTCACAGACCAGGGTAACAGTTACATAACAATACATATTCTAGTGATAAAAAACATGTTCTTTCTCCCATGAATGTAAAAGTAACATGAGTTCATTGAGAAAAACTTAGAAAAGTCAGAAATGTATGAAACTGAGCAACACTGACCCCACCCCTCAACAAGACAACATAACCTTTACCTGTACTACTTAGGCTTTTACAATTCATACCTTCATGCATGTATACCAACATACATAGGCCTGGGTGACTTTATATTACATTCACTTTTTGTTTATTTGTTTTTGTTTTTGTTGGGGGGGGCAGAGTTTCAAGGCAGAATTTCTCTGTGTAGCTTTGGAGCCTGCCCTTAAACTAGTTCCTATAGACCAAGCTAGTCTCAACCTTGTAAGGAGTACGGTTTTCCTCCCGCCGCCTGGTCTTGTCCCACCACCAAGCCAGCCCCAATTAACACACCCTCACAGTAATCCACCTGCCTCTGCCTCCTGGGTTAAAGGTGTGCGCCACCACCGCCCAGCTACATTTACTATTTTTTCCACATACTGTTAACTTATACCAGTATACAAGGTGTATTTTTTTTTCATGTCATGAATCAGTCCTATAAACACTAGTTGTAATCTAATATTCCATTGTACTATAGGAATACAATAACTCATTTACTTAATGCTCTATTGTTTGGGGGGGCATTTGACTTATTTCCAACTGTTAATTATTTAAGTTAATACTATAATAAGTATTTTCTGTACATAAAATTAGTATTCCTCTGATTATATACTAGAGGTAAATTCAAAAGGGTAGAAATTTTAAGTCCATAAACATTGTAGACGAACAATGAGCCTTCTGGAAACCTGATTTTTATAGCCATCCTGGGGCATGATGACACTCTCAGGCTCAGTGCTTCAGTATTACAAATCTTCTCAAGTTAGGAGTCAGTGAGATGGTTAAGAGTGATGCTGTGCACGGACTCTGTCTAGGAATGGTAGGTCCAGCACCACTCTGAGCTTGCTGGTAGCTGGGTTCCTATTGTGAAATACTTGCTCAGCATCTCACAAGATGCACAGACAAGTTTCTTTTTAAATGAATCTTATCGTGGTAAAGTTGGAGCAGGGACGGAAACCACTGTGAACTCAGTATATAAAGGTCTGCCTCCAGTTCTCACCAGAAATACTCATAGACATGCCTGAGCCCAAGACTTTAGGCTCTAAGACTACTCTCTACCAGGTTGAAAGGGTGGGTCACCAGTAAATAAGATGCCCCCCAGATGCCTGATGCTAAGACAAAGCTTCCATTTAAAGGGATCACTTGACTATTACAAGATGCAGGTATCCCAGCATGCAAGATTGTAAGAATCATCCATTTCAACTCTGAAATGTGGATTAGACAGAACTCAAGGTCTGAACCATCTCAGAATATATAGTTAAGTGGTCTAGCTCACCAGCTAGCTGGTCTAACATGTTCAGCCTGCTCTCTGATGAGATGGGATAGAACCTCTGGGTCACTGGGGTTATCTTATATCAAAAGTACCAAAGACATCAAGTGAGGCTACAATGGCCCTATAAGAATAGTTACAACGTGAGGTATGCCAGCATTTTCAAAGATCCAAATTAGCCATAAAGTCTGTGGTCACCACAATTTTGCATGCTTTCACTGCCAATGTATTTAAGAGAATAATTCCCTAACAGGGACACAAATTTCAGATTGGTATATGTATTTAACCTACTGAGTCTTAAAGTACAAACAGAACAAGTGTTCCAGTACAAGTCTCTCAGATACTAAAAAACCTTTGCCATTTCTCATCACTCATTTGCCAAACCATAAGTGTTATGTCTGCTGATCACTTGACTATTACAAGTTACCATTTCCTTTTGCAAGCCTTCTAACTTTGACATGTGGTAAATTTTATCTTAGAAATATGGCCTGCTTTTAGCTCCCAGATGTAGTATCATAATTGTTTCATGATTGGGAAACTCACAACGAAAATATCTGTTCACATGCTCTGCTTCAAGAGTACAGAGTCTCTTGCCACACAGTTCCTGGGTTATCGCAAGTCCCCAAGCAACACAGCAACTCCAGCTACTCCCTCCCTTGGGTATAGATACCCAGGAGCATCCCCCTGCAAAAACAGCCCCTTTCCTCAGCACCAAATACAGGTCCAGACCCAAGGGACAACTTCTTGGAGCAAAGACTTGAATGCTCAGATAGCCATGCCTGAAGCACTGAGGATACTACTGGTCTCCACACCCTGCCTGAACATGGATACCCAGTGCACTGCCTCTCACAGGTGAGCCTTCTATTGAGACTCGACTCCAGACTCTCCAGTAGCTCTGAGAGTAGTGGGCTGTACACTAGAGCCACAGAGTCTTCATTTCCTCAGCTTCTTAGAGTGTTTGCCACTGTAATCAACAGTCCTACACTGCTGTTGTTCCCCAAAATTGGCTAGCAAACTTCATACAATTCATTTCCTTGTGATACTTATAAGCCAGTATAACCCATTTCCATAAAACACCTTATGGTAATCACATTCTTTTTATTAATTCTAAAGTATAAACTACACAAGTAGCTAACACCAGTGGGAATGGAAGAGCAATAGCCACTTCCAGAACTCTCTCTCTCTTAGAAACAAAGCAAAAGTCTCCCCAGTTACCTGTCTCAGAACTCTGGAAATACAAGGCTGGGGGAATCCAAGAGTCAGTTATTTGAGAAAAACAACTGGATCATGGTAAGAACAACACAATTGGTGGCCTTTTTAACTTACCCTATTGTCATCCCCTTCCCAGTTTCAACAAGAACTCAGGGTCAGGAGCCAACAGCCAGCTACCAGAGGCCAGAGCAGGGTTCACCACAGCAGAAACACCTGCATGTGACAAAGAAGAATTGCAACGCAGTTAAGTGTCTACCTCCAAACGCTAGAAAAAGGAGAGAAAAGTAAACCAAATACAGTCATAAGAAACTATAAACATTAGAATAAAAAGTAAATGAAAGGACAAGAAAACAAGACCAAAAATTGGTCCCTTGAAAAGCTCACTGACAAACCTGTCCCTAAACTAACAAAAAAAAAAGGCCTAAAATCAAGAAATAAAGAACAAAAACTACTAAACATACAACAATAAAAAGAATAAGGAAACACAAATAATTTGAAACAACAAATTAGATGAAATTAACAAATTCCTATAAACATGAACTGAAAAAAAAGTTATGGAAAATTAAATAAATTAAAACTTGAAACAAGTAAAGAGATTGAATTAGGGAAGAAAAAAAAAACCTTTCCCCGGGTGGCTTTCTGTAAATTCTGCCAAATATTTTAAAAAGAATGATCACCAGTTAAACTGGCTGGTATGTTTGTCAACTTGACACAGCTAGAGTCCTCAGAGAGGAAGGAGCCTCGGCTGAGGAAATACCTCCTTGAGATCCAGCTGTAAGGCATTTTCTCAATTAGTGATCAACATGAGAGGGCCTAGGCCATGATGGGTGGTGCCAACCTTGGCCTGGTGGTCCTGGGTTCTATAAGAAAGCAGGCTGAGCAAGCCAGGGAAAACAATCCAGTAAGCAGCACCCTCCATGGACTCTGCATCAGCTCCTGCTTCCAGGTCCCAGTCCTGTTTGAGTTCCTATCCTGACTTCTTCTAAAGATGGACTATGGTCTGGAAGTGTAAGTCAAATAAACCCTTTCCTCCCCAGCTTGCTCTCTGGTTGTGGTATTTCACGGCCGCAATAGAAACCCTAACTAAGACACCAGTCCTCCCCAGCTCTTCCCAAGAACAGATGAGAAAAGGACATGTGTGTCCACTTCTGTTCTATATTTTCATGAGACCAGCGATAGCCTGACACCAAAACCATATAAAAACCTCACAGAAGCCTGAGACAAACACCCATAAACACAAATCACAAGGAAACACTAACAAATTAAATCCAGAAATACATAGGTACAGCAAGACCAAGTGACTTTTATCCAAAATGCAAGGTTTAACATCAAGTAACCAGTGTCACAGGAGTGATAGTGCACACCTAACAACCCAGCACTTCGGAGCAGAGGTAAACACAACATGATTTCGACTTCAAGGCCCTCATGGCTCATCTGTCTCTATAACCAAACAAGTGCTCAGTGATCGAGCACTTGTTTACTTGGGGAAAGGCCCTGAGCTTGATTCTGAGTACCTGCTAAGGGGAATTTGCGTTGTCTATCGGCTACAGTGTCTGTATAATGACCACATGACTGAACCTAATATGTCATTAAAACCCTCAGTACTTGTGTGTGAATGTGGTCTGCTAATTACTAAAAGAGGAATACTACAGTAGCTCACATGATTGCATATTTATCAACTTTTCCCTCTAAGTCTGCCAAATCTTCTCTATAAAGTTCAGTTAGTGTGTGTGTGTAAACATTCTATATATTCTGAGGTTTGTTATTAGATACAGTGAGATGCCACCTAACAATGTTTCAGTCAGTGACAGACCATGGAAGCCCCATCAGATTACAATGGATCTGAGCCAGGAGGGAATGACTTGAGCCTAGGATTTCAAGGTCAGCCTGGGAACACAGTAAAAATAAATTATAAAAGAGGGGAAAATTCCTGCTTCCCAGTAGTATAGCAGCCACTGTCACACCACAGCACATTGCCTTACTCATGTGTCACATGCTGGTATAAACAAACCAACTGTGTACAGAATACAGCACTTCACAGTGACAACAGAATATGCTCATTGTACTATAACTTTATCATCCTTTTAATGTATACTGTTTCTAATTGGAAAAAATAAGCTTACTATAAAGCAGCTTCAAACTGGCCATTCAGGGGGTATTCCAGAAGAAACCACAGAGAATGACATGTCCATGCATGTCATTTGCCTTGAAATCCTTCCAGTGGAACAAGATGTAGAAGTAGATGACAGCAACACTGATGACCATGACCATTGAAGGCCTAGGCCACTGTCAATGTCTACCCCTGTGGTGTGTGTTAATGACATTTTTTCCCCAAAAGAGCCAAGAGCTTTCAGAATGGGAACTGAAAGCCCATTTAGTGCGGAAGGAAAACCTTTGAAAAGGCAGTACACTGGGGTGCATGTACACAGACCACTGCCCTCACAGGGACAAGAACCACTCTCATCCCTCTACTCACCAAAGCAAAGGGAAGCAGTTCTTGAGCAAGCGTCTCTGTGCATGTGCCCTTCCTGACATCAGGCAGCAGATGCCCTCCTGAAGCCAATGAGGAAAATACTGACATCTGATGCTAAGCAGGGGAGGTCTAGTTGACTCTAGTTATATCTTGGATGTAAAACTACAGGCATCTATAGGCTTACACATGGTCCCCAGCTGACAGCATTTGGAGGAAAGGAGGTGAGGCCTACCTGTGGTAAGTGAAAATCTAAGGAGGGGGGAGGCCTTAATAGTCACAACCTGGCCCCACTCCATCCTCCTTTCATTTCTTGGTCTGCTTAGATATGAGGAGTCCTAGCAGCATGCTCCTGACACCATGCCTTCCCTATGATGGACTGTGCCCTCCTTTGCTGTCTGTTATGGTAACTAAACACTGAACAAAAGCAATGTGGGGAAGGAAAGGATTTCTTTGGCTTATACTTCCGGGTCGCAGTCCTTCACTGAGGGACGTTAAGGTGGGAGCTCAAGCAGGGACTGAAGCAGAAACCACAGAGAAATGCTGACTGCCTTGCCCTCAGACTCAAGGTCAGACACCTTCTTACACAGCCCAGACCTGCCTGCCAAGGGATGGTACCACCCACAGTGGGCTGGGTTCTCCTACATCAGTTAGCACAGGTATACCCACAGGGCCAATCTGACAAAAGAGATTCTTCAACTGAGGGTCTCTCTTCCCAGGTGTGTGAAATTGACAACCAGGATTAGCCATCCCAAGTTATGAACTGTGAACTAAAATAACTTTTCCTACCACAAAGTTACTTAACCATGGTGTTTTTTCCACAGAAACTGTAGTGGGTAGTATTGTTTATCAGCTTGGCACACTCCACAATTACCTAGGAGACACATCTCCAGGCACATCTAGGAGAGATTCTCTTGAGTAAGTTGGCCTCTGACCATGTCTGTTTGGGATTATGTTGATTATGCTAATTGAGGTGGGAAGATTCACCCTAAAAATGGCAGCACCATTCTTTGGGCTTTGGTCCTAGACAGCAGAAAAAAAAAGGAGCAGGCTGGCTGAGCATAGTGTTCCTCTTCCTCTGCTTCCTGGCTGCAGATGCAATGCCTCAAGCTCCTACCACCATGACCATTAAGCTCCCCACCACGATGCACTGTACTTCTGGATGTGAACAAAAACAAATACTGTCTTCCTTAAGTTTCTTTTGCCAAGTGTTTTCTTGTGTATATGGACGTTTTAGCCATGTGTATGTCTGTATACTACATATGTGCCTTGTGCTCACAGAAGCCAAAAGAGGGTAACAGATTACCTAGGACAGGAGTCACCACTGAGCTCTCTCTCCAGCCCTATTGTCAGCATACTGTATCACAGCCCCAAGAAAAGTCACCATGACAGCATTACAAAACACAACAGAGTCCTCACGAGAAAAGTCTGGAGAGGAGCTGCTGAAGCAGATTACAAACAGGATCCTCAGCACATGAGTCTGCTTATGACAAAAGGGATCACAGTATGTCCACAAAGAACCCCAGTGAAGCTGACAGTCAAATGCCACAGAGCTGTATATCTTCACTATCATCCTTCTGGGTGCTGCTGTGGAAATAAGGCCCAGGGGCCTACCTGAGATGGCAGGGTGGGGTGCACTAAAAAGAGTCTTACCCACCTTCGCCCCCAGTTCAAGCCATGAAGGCTGGACACTCCTGACAGGCAGCAAAGCCAGCAAAGAGTCAAAAGTGCAGGAACATTTTCAAGGAGTCACATAATGTAAAAAGAAGAGACAAGTACATAGATGACTTTGATACAAGATTAGGTGGAAACCTCCACCCTCAAAAAGTGAACACAGTCTCCTCCCATATAAAGTAGAACTATGCAAACACAAGGTGATGTTGACATGTGGACAGAACTAAGCATACAGTCTTCTGAAGGGCAAACTTGGCAGGTGAAAACCAAGAGCAAGGTCAGAGGCTCAGTCCAGTCTGGATGGAACACAAACCAAACTATAGGGACACATGGTCAGCAAGCTGTAGAGGCAGGGGGTACCAGCCAATGCCAGAGACATGAAAAGTGAAGCCAAGGTACCAGTCAATTGGGCTTTGCTTTGAAAGATCAAAGGAGATCAAATACAATGTCAGAGCAATAGAAGCATCCTAAAATCTGGGACCACAGAACTATTGACAGTCTAGATAACATATTCACTCCCCCAAAGTCTCCTGACCTATATGTATATGTCACTGTAAAGGCTCAATAACATGCTATAAATTATGCAGTAGAAGCAACCTCACTAAAAATGTATAATCATAATTATTGTAAGAACATAGACCTCAAAAGCAGATCAAACTAACTGACCACATACCATTGTTTACATTGTCAATAGGAGACTCAGAGGCAAGTCATGTGGGGGAAGAGAAATGGCTAAAAGAACCAGTTTTCAAAGCTGGTTCACCAGACAAAAACCCAGTAAAGTCAGAGAGCTATACATTAAAACAATGAGCTATAACCTCATATGTAGTAGAATTAAATGCAAAGAACTGACAACACCAAACGATGGAAAAGATGTAGGGACTCTTGCCAGCATGTGAGTACAGGAAGGAAGTGAAACAGAATAGTGCAACCACTCACAAAGATAGCTGGACAGTTCCTCACAAACTAAACGTGCTCTGACCACAGCACCCCACCACTATGCTACCTGGAATATCTGCAAATGAGAGGAAAACCTGTATTCACAAAGTCCTATACACAAATGTTAAGA